TTTTATTCATTAATTTTAAACCACTTATTATTAATAATAAGTTAAAGAAGACTTTTAAGAAACACTTAATATTATTATTAAAATGTGAAACATACACTAAATAATAAAGTGATAAAATATCCATGTAATTTGATTTTATTATTTATAATTATTGCTTATTAATTTTAAAACCACTTGTTATTATTAATAAGTGAAATAAACTTTTAAAAATCACTTATTATTATAATTCAAATGTTAAACATATACTAAAATATAAAATGATAAGATAGACAATTTGCATTTAAAAAAAACTTACATGGATAATATGACATATCTCTAACTTTTAATTAATTATTGTTTTGAAGCAACATGAACATACAAACATGTATGCAATAATTAACTAAATACTATATATATATATATATATATATATATATATATATATATATATATATATATATATATATATATATATCACCTTACCTAACATATGATCGACAAAATTAATCTAATCTAATTTACATTAAAATTTCAACCACAACATACAATGATATTCTTAAAACAATACTTAAATCAAGAAAATACAAAAAAGAATTAGTATATATTTAAACTTGTTTTTTTTTTTTTATTTTTTTTTTATTTATGAGTTTTGTGTGTGAATTGTATTTGTGTATCTACTAAAAAAGGTTGACCTTTTTATAGTAGAGTATCCATTAATTGTTTTTTAAATATATTATATAAGCTATAAAATCTTTGAATTTTTAATCATTATTAAGAGACTTTTGAGTGGTGTTCATTAAAATAGGAGGTTTCAAATGCATGAGGTGTTTGCAAATTTTTATGGGGGTTTCAAATGCATAAGGTTCAACAAAAAATGCTAGCTTTATAAGTATGTATGTATGTATGTATATATATATATATATATATATATATATATATATATATATATATATATATCAACTATTAATTGTATTTAGTGTTTACAGTTTTAATAACATTATATTATTCATTTGGTCGTATTAGTCAATAGTCATTACCACGTAAAAGTACAATATTAAAACGTTACTTTAGCGTTAATTCAGTAGAATTTTTTTGTAAACTAAAAGAACTACATAACTAATTTCTATACTACACATTAAAATCCCGATGTCGTTGCTTATTTTTAAATCTTACAATAGAAAACTAAAAGAAGTTGGTATATACCATTACTAATTTGTACCAACCAAACTTGTTGGAAGCCAAATAAATTGGTACCAAGTATACTTGGTACGGTATTGGTAGCAATTCTTTTATACGAATTATAGTTGGTACGGTACACGGTTTAGAGAAAAATGAATTGGTACCGTATCAATTCCACCCCTAGATAAGAATAGCAAGAGCTACCACGAACTTCACATGTACTTGATTAGGAGAATAAATATTGAACTTGACCTACATCAAAATCACTTTATGGATCGTAGACAAGAGTGATGTTTTGATCAAGGTTGCATCTTTGTATTCTTAGACCTAAGATACATATTTGGGACTTAAAATGTAGGAACCTATTGTGTTTTGACATGGTTTAATGTTGTTCCATAAAATGAAGTCATAAGGGCCATCGTTGGGTATAACATGAACTACATTGATGGGCGTACGTAGTTAAAATGGGATTTTTCCCTCTTATTCGTTGAGAGCTATACATCTAAAGTCTTACTAAAAGTTGAACATTAAATGAGATTGATGGCGATACATATATCATGTTCAACATGATGTTTGAGACAAAGGAATACTTGATACCACACCTTTAGTAACAATTGTAGCTTAGAGCTCCTGGAATTGGCTATTGATGAGATGACACCCTTTATATGTCGTTAGGGGCTGTAGCCCGTTGCTAGACGTCATCTACTGTCTATGTCAACCTGTAATGAATCTTGTGCAAGTGGGAGATTATTGAATCTATATGCCTAAAACAAGCATGAATATCTTTTTGTTGACGAACAAAACAAATGAATCACTAGATGAATAAAAAATAACATGACACACAAAAAAGTTCCCAAAAATATAATTCGATGATTCATTTTCATGATGATTTAATTGATATTCACTAAAAGTTTTATAAAAAATGAATTTTTTCTATATATATATATATATATATATATATATATATATATATATATATATATATATATATATATATACTTATTCCGCCTATATCCATAATGGGACTTGAACCCTCAACCTAAAAGAAGAAGGGCACCATCAGATACCGTTGGGGTATAAACCCTTTGGTAAGTACTGTGGATATTTAGTTGTATATACAACTAGCTCTAATATAAATATACTATTAAATGTCAGAAGAATTTATATAGAAATATATTTATAACGGTGCTCATTTGTCAAGATTAAAAGATCAAGAATTTCAACATGGTTTGTTTTTCTAGATAAGAAATTAAAAATCGGTAAAAAAAAATTAAAAATATTAAAAGCTAGTATTACAAAATTGTTGATGTCAATATTTGAAATTAGGACTTTCAATCTAAAAATAAAATATTTGACAAGTGGAGTAGTCCCACAATTACAACCACATTAGTGAAAAAAAAACACTCAATAGCAATTGGCATACAAAATCACTTCGTACATTCTCATCAAATATAAGTAAAAACTCAACCTTATATATAAAGTCCTTGTGATTTAAATATTTTAAAGATCTATAAACACAATCATAAATAATTTCGGACCTACCACTACTAATGATAATGTTAAAGATGAAAAGATTCATAAACCACATGAAAAGTGAATGGTCGATTGCCATCTATGTAGGTGGTGGTGGGCATTATAATTATTAACATGAATATATAAGACAAAACCCAAGGTTTAATAAAAATAATAATAATAATACATACACAGAATAAAATCAATAAATATATTCTAATCAAAGGTTCCAAATATTTATTATTTAAAATAAACAATTTTGGTCTCTGAAACTCAAATGTATTACAACTTCTGGATTAGAATTTAGGATATCCATAATTCATTGAATTTCATAGAGTTCAATAGATTACCACATCATCTTTCTATAATCCATATAATTTTAGCATTTTTCCCCTACAATGCATTGAACACTACAAAATTCAATAGAATGTTATAAAATATAATTTATAGTAAATATTTATAAATTTAATTTTTTTTTTATTGAAATAGTAACTTCAAATCCATTGAATGTCAAAGTGGCATCTCATAATGATAGAGTTTCATCAACTGAATGACGTAGATTTACCAGCTCATTTAACTCTTCCCTCAAGTTGACCATCGTAGATACTCTTATATTGAACTTTTAATTTGACAGTAAAATTATATGGAAAGAGAATCAACTGTATTAATTTTTAGACAAAACTGTAAATTTGGTCCTTGTGGTTTGCAAAAATCTTTGGATAGGGTCCAAAAAGTTTCCGACTTGCACAGAAGGTCTGAAATCAAAGTTGTTCTAGATTTTTTGTCCAAAAAATTGAAATTACCTATTTACCCTTTTAATTTCAGTTTTGTATTTTCTTTTCTTATTTATATTAATACTTTATGAAATAAAAATAAAAAACTAAGAAGATGACCCCACTCCACCCCTACCGGTACCTCTCTCTCTCTCTCTCTCTCTCTCTCTCTCCTTCCCTCTCTTGTTGTCAGTACGATGGATGCCAATAAATTGCGGGCAAAGGGACAGAGTGTCATTGGTTGACGAGAACGAAGCGGCGAAGGAAAAGGGGAGGACATCTGGGGTTTGGCTAGATCGAAGGAATGAAGGGAAAAAGCAGTGAAGCTTCTTCCTGCTCTAATGGTGATGTGCGAAGCGGGAAAGGTTTGATCGGCGAGAAGGGAGGTCGTCTTTGTGGTTTGACGAAACCGAAGGGACGAAGGAAATGGTGGAGTGTCGCAAGCAGCAACAACGAAGAAGTTGGAGTCCTCGGTGGGTTTGCTCGATGGAAGGGAAGAAGAGGGTGCCAGGGGTGGTCGTCGGTCTCAGTGGGTGCTGCGATGAGGCGATCGGTGGTTGACAGATGCGTGATTGGGGATTGCTCCGGCAGCCTCCCCTGTTTTTTTTTTCTGTGGTGGTGTCGGGGGAGGCAGCAGCAACTCCGATTGTTATTGTGTTGTTATTCTCTTGTGTTCTTGTTTTGTTCTTGACTGATTTGAAACGGAATATGCAGGTGTTTGAGTTGAGGCTTGGTCACAGAAACAGGAAGGGACAGAGGTGTAATGGTGGTATCAGGGGAGGCAACAACTCCGGTTGCTGCTATGTTTTCTAGTGAGCAGGGCAGTAACGAGAGAGAGAGAGAGAGAGAGAGAGAGAGAGAGAGAGAGAGAGAGAGAGAGAAAGGAGGACTTCGAAGGAGGGGGGAGGAAGAGAGAGAAGGGGAAGTGCTCCGGTGGGTTTGGTGTGTGTGTATATATATATATATATATATATATATATATATATATATATATATATATATAATTCTTTTTATGCATTAATATTTATAAAATAAAAATATAAAAATACAAAAAAGAAATTTAAAGGGCAAAATAGTCAATTCAAATGCTCCATGGACCAAAACTACAAATATTTCTTAAGTTTATGACCAAAAACCTAGAAAAATCCTGATTTCGAACCTTCTGTGCAAGATGGAAACTTTTTGGATCCCATCCAAAGATTTTTGCAAACCACAAGGATCAAATTTGCAGTTTTTTCTAATTTTTATAATAAGATTAAATGAGTTATATGTAGAAGATTTTTAGTTTCCTTTAAATAATTATGAGTCGAACTAATGAGATCTTAAAACTATTTTAAAGTCCCATAAGTAATTTTCTTTTGTGTACTTTTATTTTTTTTCTATTATCTAAACTAATTATAACACTATATGCAGGAATCAAACAACCCCCATTCCCCATCCCCACCCCACCAACCCTCTACATCCTTCCTTCCATTTTTATATACCATTTGAGTGCACATTATATTGACCAATAGTCACACACCTCTTTTATCACAAAACAAGATCAAGCGATCGAGCATGGAGAATGCAAGCAAAGTCAACCAATTCTCATCTTCCATCTCTCCCACCTCCACCTTCACCACTTCTGCCACCAGAAGTATTACATGTCGTTCAAAGGCGTGCAAGTCACAGAAAGGCTCAATAAGAGCTCGAAAGGGAAACAATGGCAATGAGGAAAAGAAACTAAGTAAAACTAGTGGTGACGCTAGTGGTGGTGGTGGTGAGGATGGTGAAGAGCACCACACCTATCGAGGTGTAAGAAAGAGGAGTTGGGGAAAATGGGTGTCGGAAATACGTGAGCCACGGAAGAAATCAAGAATATGGCTTGGAACATTCTGGACGGCAGAAATGGCAGCTCGAGCACATGACGTAGCTGCGATAGCCATAAAAGGCACCTCGGCCTACCTTAATTTCCCTCAATTAGCACATCTACTTCCACAGCCTGCCAGCAGATCACCCAAAGACATCAGGGAAGCTGCCGCAAAGGCTGCCGCCATGACATGCGGCGGAGATGGAGTTGGAGCCGAAGCCGAACCAGATAGCCAACCCATACTTTCTCACTCTCAGTCATCAACCACCTTATCATCGGAAAACACCCAAGATGGAGCAGAGCCAGAAGGCCAAGAAACAATGGTTTCCGACGATGATACATTCTTTGACTTGCCAGACCTTTCCCTCCACAACATCGACGTGAGCGACGGTTTTTTTAATGCTTCATCGTGGCAGGTAGTGGCCGGTGTTGATAGTGCCTCCCGGTTTGGAGCTGAAGAGCCGTTTCTATGGGAGATATACTAGCTATAGCTTATAATCAAAAGTAAATAAATAAGGATATATACTGTAAATTATTACTGTATATTGGACACAATTCTAGTCCAATATATTTTATTTGGTTTTAAAAAAATTAACGTGTATTACTGTATATTGGACACAATTCTAGTCAAATATTTTATTTGGTTTTAAAAAAATTAACCTGTATTAATTATATCGATATAAGTTCGAGTTTTTTCTCCATTTTTCTTTTATCATTTTAATATAAGTTTACTTCTAAAACTATTGTTAGGATTTTATTACCATTTTATATATTTCAGTAATACATGTGATATAGAACAAAAAGCCCAATAAAACAAGAACATATTCATCTAAAATTTTATGAAAACATTCATTCTAAATGAATTTATGAGATTATATCTTTGATATGCAGTTCAAATTAAAACATATGCTCAAAATATGAAAATGTGATGTGAAATTGTTGTCAAGTCATTTTTAAATGATAAAATATTATCAGATAGGCGGACCACAAATTACTCAAGATGTTAGCATCTATTATTGGCATTATATTAGGTTATTCGTAGTGCTTCAATTTTTGACGGTGTGGTGATTTGGCATACCTCCTTCTCTATCTTGTTAGTCATTATGGTTTAGGCCAATATAAATAGGGCTACATAAAAACCTAATTTAAATCTTAAAATGTTTGTACCTAAACTCTAATCACTAAAATCTCCGCACTTTAATCGGGATGGGATTATTAAACTGAAAAACCAAAAACATAAAACGTAACAAAAATGAAGACAGCGACAACAGCGGAGGCAGAGTTCTAACGATGACGTTTAACAACTGCTTGTTGTAGAAGGAGAGATAAGAAGCAACGACTAGCAGCGTTTCCTTTGTATAAGAAGAGAGGAGCGGGGACGACGATAATGATCATGCAACCGGTGATAGAGGGATCCGGAAAAAGGCAGCGAGAAAGAAAGAGGGCTCAAGCTGCAGCAGATGGAGCCAATTCCGGCGAGATCGGCGACTGCAATGTTGATAGAGAGAGAAACGACTACAGATCAGAGGCTGCCCAACAGAGAATGTGCCATCGGAGAGAGGCAATCACAACATCCGAAGGGGCTGAATCGGAAAAGAGATATGAAGAATTAGTCAGCCGAAGAGAAGACGGAAGGTGAGGAGGCAGAAGTAGACGAGGCAGTAGAAGAAGCAGATGAAAGGGATCTAGTTTTGTGTCATCCGACTGTTTTATTATTTAGGCGGAGAAAAGAAGAAACCGAAATATAAGGAATATAATTACGGCACCTCCAACAATTATTAGAGAATGTCGTCGGCGGTGGAGGGCGGCGGCAACAGGTTGTGTTTTGAAGTAAAGTTTTAACCTATAGCTCTGATGCCATGTAAGATAATAGATTGTTTCATTGATAAAAAGTGAAATTAAACCTCATATAAATAGAGTTACATAAAAGACCTAATTTAAATCTAAAGGGATTGGCCTAAACCCTAATCTAACATATCTCTCTTCTTCCACCCTCTATCTCTCTTCCTATCAGTGAGAATATATTGTACAACATTTTTTAACATTGGTAAAAATCTAGTGGAACGGTGTTTGGATGATGTGGTCAGATCTTTTATGCATAAGATTCTTCAACCGTTCCTTTTGTTCTTAGAAACAAGTTCTTTCTTGGTGGCTCTAATTATTAAAGATGCTAGAAAAAGTATCTTGGATTGCTTGCATGGAAGATAGCGCTCGGTCGGTTTGGTTAATTATACTCTTGGATTGTATATAGACACTCATCTTTATCTTACATTTCTTATGTATTGTTTTCCCTTGAGATGAATCATGATCGATTCATGATTCTTACACTCTCTCTAGTTATGTGGTTGTCCTGGAAGCATCGTGTTTTACATAGTGGTAGGGAATACGTTGTCTTTAATGGTCTCTCATGCATCTAAATCCCTTTCAGTTGTTTTGATAAGGAAGATCGATCGTTAATGATTTATTGCTCAATCAATATTGTTGGGAAAGTTAGATGGAACAAACTTCTTCCCATTAAACAGTAAAGCTAATGTTAGGTGTCGAGAGTTTCATTGATCAAAGTGAGCTTAGACAAGAGAGAAAATGATATAGATTCAGTTTATTAATGTCTTGTTTAGGAGGACTGATCTTCCTTGATTTTTTGGTGGCTATATATTAATGAATCAATGAATCGTGGATTTTGATTGTTAAAGAGTAGGCCCTTACACTATTCAGAACTTTGTGTCTCTCATCTCCTAAGTTCACGTTTCACAAAGTTATTTTGATGTTATCCATGTAGTGGTGGCAAAAACCTATAGGTAACTGCTAATGCATCTAATATTTCATACAAGTTAATTGCAGATGAAATCCGAACAATGCCTTTATATATACAGCGAAGTACTTTAAATTGGATCAATCATATATATATATATATATATATATATATATATATATATATATATATATATATATATATATATATATATATATATATATATATATATATATATATATATATATATATATATATATATATATATATATATATATATATATATATATATATATTGTTGGTGATTTTATCATCAAATATATTTTAGTGTAATGGACTCAACAAGTGTTTCAAGAATAATGGTTTAGTTATAATATAAGTTAGGAGGTGTGAGAGTGCACACTTGTATTTACTAAAACATTGTTAGTACCGAACAATAATCTACTGTGTCAAGTCGGGGTTCCGCTTGAAAGATGTAAATTTTAAGGACTAATCTTTCTTTTTTGAAAGATACAAATTGTTTTCAGTTATCCGTTGATTGGATAAATCAAAGAAAACGGCGTCAATTGAAACACAGAAAACTGGGAAACGCTTCCTTCTTCATCTTCTTCAAAAATTGATTTTGATTTTGTGCCCAAAATCAGAATTGTTGCATCAAGAATTATCCTAAGTTTGAATTTCGTGATATCCAAGGCATATAGGGTCGAAGTATCAAACACGGAAAGTGATTACACGATTCGTGTTTTGTTATCCAGATTTTTCGATTTTCCCCAACAATCTTGTTTGATATTTTTTTTCGTTTTTATGGAAAAGATGGCTGGCAATTCATTGAAAGACATGAATACTTCGTTTGGCAAATTGGAAAAATTTCAGGGCCAAGATTTCAGATGTTGGCAAAAGAAAATGCACTTCTGGTTGACCACTTTGACAATTATCTATGTTCTTTCTACTCCAAAACTAGAAGAGGTTGAAGATGCAAGTCTTGAACAAATCAGAAGGAGAAGCAAATGGGAGAATGACAACTACATCTGCCTTGGTCACATTCTGAATGGTATGTGTGATTCCCTCTTTGACACTCATCAAAATATTGAAATTGCAAGTGAATTGTGGAACACACTTGAAGCAAAATATATTGCAAAAGATGCTTCAAGTAAAAAGTTCATTGTTTCTGATTTCAACAATTAAAAAATGGTTGGTTCTCGATCTGTAATGGAACAATATGATGAAATCCTACGAATTTATGGTCAATTCAAACAGCACAACATGTCCATGGACGAATCATTCTGTTTCAAGTGTCGTTGACAAACTTCCACCCTCATGGAAAGATTTCAAACACCATATGAAACATAGAAAGGAAGAGATAACTTTGATTCAATTTAGGAGTCATTTGAAAATCGAAGAAGGACTTCGTGATCAAGAGAATGACAAAGGAACTTGAAAGGGAAAATCTGATTTTGGATAGCCCTAAGTTCATATGGCTGAATGTCATAAAGAAGATAATTCTAATCACAAGAGCAAGGGTAAAAAAACGTAAGTATGAGGGTAACAACAAAAAGTCCAACAAAACACACAAGGATTCCAAGGAACTTGTGTGTTGGAGATGTCATCTGAAAGGGCATATAAAACGTGGCTGTCGGGTGAAACTTGGAAATAAAGGTGCAAGTGGTAGTGGAAAAGAAGGTACTGGTGGTGGCAGTGGATCTCATGATCAATCTGCAACCAAAGGTCAAATTACTATTGATCTTGTAAGTTCAGTATTCAATGTGTCGCTACTAACTCTAGAAGTTTCTTTTGTACAGGGGGTGATACAGATTCATGGTGGCTTGATACCTGTTCTACACATCACGTATGTAATGATGAATGGTGGTTCACGAAGTTGAACATAGTAAATAAAGGTTCTGTCTTACACATGGCGGATAAAGGATCAAAGCAAATTTTAGGAACTGGTGTTGTTAGTATTACGTTTACTTCTGGAAAAACAATTAATTTGTTTGATGTATTGTATGTTCCAAAGGTTCGAAAGAACCTTGTGTCTAGTGGTTTGTTGAATTCAGGGATGAGCATATAGACCGGGGAACCGACCGACACCAGAACCGGAACCCGATGGAACCGGTCGGGCCGGGACCGGGATGTTATTTTTATGGGTTTTTAGAATCGGGAACCGGTAGGAACCGGAACCGGTAGAACCGGCAAAAACCGGAACCGTATGATGCTATTTTTCGAGGACTGATTCCAACATTTGAATACACGACAAGAACCGGTAGGAACCGGGAACCGGTAGAACCAGAACCAGTAGAACTATCGGGCCGGTTCGGTTCTTGATTTTAGCCGAAGCCGGTTCCCAGGTTGGGTCCAGTTCCGGCCGGTTCGGTCCTTTTGCTCATCCCTAGTTGAATTGTATGGGTTATAAACAAGTGATTGAGTCGAACAAGTATGTGTTGTCTAAATGTGGAATATTTGTGGGATTTGGTTATTATTGTGAACGTGTTTTTAAGTTAAATGTTATAAATAGTTTTGCATCACATGTCAAATCTACTTGTTTGACTTCTGCATCTAATCTTGATAATTCTATGTTATGGCATAATAGATTAGGACATGTTCATATTAAAAGAATGGTTGAAATGTCAAAATCCGGATTAATTCCAGCTTTTGACATTAATTCTGAAAAATGCAAAACTTGTATGTTAACTAAAATCACGAAACAACCGTTTCCAAATGTGAATAGAAAATCAG